TAAGGAGACCTTCACCAGAGGCTGAACAGATGGAACTGCCTGGTCTTGGACTGTCAGCCTCCAAAACTCTGAGTCAAACAAACCTCTTCACTTTATAAAGCACCTGAACTTGGCATTTTGATAGCAACAGAAATAAGACTAAGACTGTCTTCCCTGTCTGGTGGAGCATATTATTTCTTACTGCTCCCCTTGGCTCAGACAAGTCAATTCCTCACCGTGTTACCATCATTCCATTCGCGCCTCCTCTCCACTCCCTGTGTCCTGTTCTCATTCACTCAGGCCTTCTCCTTGCTCACCTCTCCCCAGTATCCTCAGAAATGGCTTCTTTCCTCCACTCATCCTTACTCCATCCATTCTGAGGCTCTGTTCATGTCCTACCTCTTACATAAACCCTTTCTGGACCTTCAAATGCTCCAAAAACTCATGTTCCTTCACTTGTATTTGGAACCACCCAAGAGAGCACTTAACTGTTACCTAATTTATCTTTGTGGGTTTTTTCTGTATCTCCAACCAGACTGTCCATTCCTCAAGGGCAGGTCCTTCAGCTTATCTCCTTGAACCTGCAACGGGTCCTAATATAGAGTGGAATTAGGTTTGTACATTCTTTATTTGCATTAGTTACAGGTAGAAGGGCAACCAGACTACCTCCGCAGAGCAGCTGCTGGCAGTGGTTTCTGGGCTACTCCACACTGTCTCACCCCTAGTGATCTCCTTCACTGTCCCCAGACATCACCACGGCAGGGTTATTATGACACAAAGCTAACTTAGCCTTTCCAACAAATGATTAGCACATAGAGTCTGAACTACTTTTGTAAAATACACAGGATACCCAGGATCATAGAATCTTACAGTGAAAAGATGCCTCAGAGGTCAGCGAATGTCCACCCCTTCCACGCTCCATATGAAATCCCTTCCCAAGAAGTCCCCACTGCCTGCACTCCGACAAGTTGACCACCACATCTTTTTTTAAACTCACATCTTAGGCAAATAGGAATTCCATGGTCAGTTTGACTTGTTTCAGAATCTGTAAAGGATCTTTATTGCCAATATCTTCACCAATCCTCATTGGGAAAAGAGCTGGGGGTGGGGGCAGCAAATTCTGCTAGTGGAAGGATGGTTGGCACCCAGTTAGCCTCTGAGACCTTAGAAAGCTCCCTTGAAGAGGGAGCCAGTGTTCTTGATGATTGCCATCCCAACAAGAGTGAGAGAAAATCTCAATGTCGTTTTTTATTAGCATTTACCTGGTTCTTAGGAATGTTGAATTTTTCTTATTTATCTGTTGGCCACTTGTATTTCTTCTTTTAAGAAATGCCTATTGATTGATTGAACTTTTTTTCTTTGATGTTGAGTTTTTTGAATTCTTTATATATCCTGGATATTAATCCCCTGTCAAAGGAGAGACTGGAAAGGATTTTCCCCACTCTGTCGGCTCTCTCTTCATTGTCTTAATCATTTCCTTTGCTGTGCAGAAGCTTTTTCATTGGATGTTGTTGCACTTATTGATTCTCAGTTTTGATTGTTGCACTTTAGGAGTCTTGTTAAGGAAGTTGGTGTCGGAGCCAATATGTTGGAGTGTTGATTCTCTGTCTTCTTCTAGCAGTTGCAAAGTTTCTGGTCCAATTCCTAGGTCTTTGGTCCACTTTGGGTTGAATTTGGGGCAGGGTAAAAGACAGAAATCTTCCTTTGTTTTCATATGGATATCCAGCTTTTACAGCACCATTTGTTTAAAAGTCTATCTTTTCTCTAATGTATGTTTTTTGCACCTCGGTCAAGTATCAGATGGCTGTATCTATGTGGATTTGACTCTGTGTCTTCTTTTCCATTTCATTCATTTCCATGTCTGCCAATACCATGCTGTTTTTGTTACTATAGCTCTGTAGTATAATTTGAGATCAATGCCTCCAGCATTGCTCCTCTTGTTCTAGATTTCTTTACCCTATTCTGAGTCTATTGTTCTTCCAAATTAATTTTAGAACTTCTATTTCTAGTTATCTTAAGAATATCATTGCTGTTTTCATGGGAATTGCATTGAGTCTGTATGACAGTTTTGGTAGTATGACCATTTTGACAATATTTATTCTGCCCTTAACAGAACATGGGGGACACYTCCCATCTTCTAAGGTCTTCAGTTTCTTTCTTCAATGTTCTCTAGTCTTTCACTGCCTTGGTCAGATTTATTCCCAACTTTTTATTTTGTTTTGGTTTCTGATGTTGTAAACAGGATAGTGTTTGTGATTTCTTTTCAGCAGTTCCATTGGAGTATAGGAAAGCTATTGATTTGGGTATGTTGCTCTTGTATCCTGCTACTTTGCTGAATTTATTTATCAGCTCTAGAAGTCTTCTGGTGGAGTTTTTTGGGGGTCTTCTAGATAGAGGATCATGTCATCAGCAAAAAGAGATAATTTGACTTCTTTCTTCCTATTTGTATCCCTTTAATTTCCTTTTCCTGCCTTATTGCTCTGGCTATAGTTTCAATAACTATATTGAATACAAGTGGTAAAAATGGACATCCTTATCTTGTTTCTGATTTTAGAGGAAATACTTCCAGTTTTTCTGTATTCAGTATGATGTTGTCTTTGGATTTGTCATATAATAGCCATTATAATGTTGAGATAAATTCTTTCTATCCTTAGTTTCTCCAGAATTTTGTCAAAGGCCTTTTATGTATCTATTGAAATGATCATGATTCTTTTCCTTAATTCCATTTATATGGTGAATTATGTAGGTTGATTTTCTGGGGGGCGGGGGAAGGTACTTTCATACATTGTTGTGAGACTGCAAATTAATACAACCATTTTGAAAAGAAGAATGGAGATTCCTCAAAAACTAGGAATAGAACCACCATAAGTCCCAATTATCCCACTCCTTGGTAATTATTCAAAAGTACTAAAATCAGCATCTTATAGTGACATTGGCACATCAATATTCATAGCAGCACAATTCACAATACCCAAAATAAGGAATTGTCCAGATCCTTGTCAACAGACGAAGGAATAAAGAAAATGTGGTATATGTACACAATGGAGTTCTACTCAGCCATAAAGAAGAATAACATTATGTCATTTACTGGTAAATTGATGGAACTGAACAGCATCATGCTAAGTGAAATAAGCCAGACTCAGAAAATCAAGGGTCAAATGTTTTCTCTCATGTGCAGAAGCTTAAGCAAGATAAGAGTCAGGGCAGAACCCATAAAAACAGAATTGAGATCTGTAGAGTAGAGGAAAAAAATTGAGGGGGAGGGAAGATGGATGGGAAAAGGAAGTAACCTGGAATGAAATTAACAAAGTTATGCTATGTACACCTGTGAACGTACACAGTGAATTTCACCTTTATGTATAGCACAAAATAAAAATAAATTAATAAATAAATGGAAGACCAGTAGAGTAGAGGGAGCGGAAGGGGGAGAAGAGGGGATGGAGAGAGGAAGCACTGAGGACTGAGAAAGAGAAAAGATTATTTCGTCATGTATGATTATGTTGAAATGAATCCCACCRTTATGTACAAGTATAATGCACTGATAATGCACGTTTTATAAAAGAGRAAATTCAGTGACTTGAGTTGAAAAGGATGTTTCTGTCCAAAAGTTGAACCAACTTGGCCTCTAACCACCTTCCCAAATCTTGTCACGGCTCACACTATGATTAYGAGCATTGCCCAGCACAGATGCAACTCAAACAATGCCTTATCTACTCATGAGACTCTCTGTGTAACTCCTCTGAAAAATCCAAAATGTCCCATAACTTGAGAGTCTGAGACTCAGATACATTGCATCTCTCAGGTCTGGTGGACAATGTCAAATAGTCACTAAAGGCCACATGCTTGACTTGACTGTCTATGATAAACACATATGTGCATACATAAATTATAATCATTCATCATTTATATGCTCCTTAAGCAAATAGTTTTTATTCTCAAATAAGTATTGTACTAAAAAAAAAATAGTCTTGTCACAAGACACTGAGATAGCCAGGCATGGTGACACACACCTGTAATCCCAGYGGCTCAGAAGGCTGAGGCAGGAGGATCATGAGTTCGAAGCCAGCCTCAGCAAAAGGGAGGCGCTAAACAACTCAGTGAGACCCTGTGTCTAAATAAAATCCAAAATAGGGCTGGGGATGTGACTCAGTGGTCGAGTGCCCAGGTACCAAAAAAAAAAAAAAAAAAAAAGACACTGAGATGGAGCTGAGGGTATAGCTGCTTGGTAGAGAACTTGCCTAGTATGCACAAGGCCCTGGGTTCCAGCCTCAGCACCAAACAACAACAACAACAAAATGTTATTTACTAATAGGCCACTGATCAGAAATATATATATATATGTATGTATCAAAACAAAAGGGAGAACAGACCTGAGATTCAGGAGGGTGGTCTGCAGGGCGGGGGAAAGGGACAGAGGAGCTGGGAGCCACTGTCAAGATTCCATCTCCCCCACTGGAAAGTGGGGTCATGGATGCCGATTAATTATTAATAAGCAGATATTTAAATACAAATGCATGCATCAGAGTATTGACACAGGGCCTGGTAAATGACGGAGAGTGTCAACTGGCTGTTTATGTTAAAAAGCGCTCCCTACCACCCTCTCCCTGCCCCCCCCCTTCCTCGTCTGGTCCCAGCCCTGACTCAGGCCAGCCTCTGCTCCCTCTTGTTGGCAGAAATAATATGCCCTGGACTGGTGCCACCCTGTTCCTCTCTTCCAGGGATAGGCAGGCACCCAAAGTCACAGCCGAGGGTGACGGAGGACAGCAAAGGTCTGCACCATCCACACACCTCTACACGGCCACCCGCCCCCTCAAGGACAGTGCCCCTCGCACAGCTCCAGCTGAGCAGGGATGCCTCTGGCCATCTGACCACTCTCCATCAAGATTCAGGCTCAGGCCCTTCACACCAGCCGYCCCCACCCAACCCCTGAGCTGGAAGGAGGCCTTGCTCTTCCTGCTGAGGGATCCCCAAGTACAGAGGCAGCAACCAGCCCACCGCAGGGGCCCATCCATCTGTCTCACCCGCAAGAAGGAATTGAGCAAGCCTCCTCTCTGTAGCTGCAGAAGGTTCCCCAAGAAGGGCAGAGGACGGGGGCCTGGCGGGAGGCGGCCACGGGCCTTTGGGTGGCCCCTGACCAGCAGAAGAAARAGGCCTGTGAGCAGAGCAAGGAGCAGGAGGACACTGAGCTCCATGGTCCTGGTCTGACCGCYGTCCACCAGCTGCAGCCTCAGCTGGACCTTTTATCCTGAGCCTCCTCCCCACCCTGTTATGCAACCCCATCTGCTCCCCGCCTCCCTCGTCACCGTCCAAGAGTGTGAAGTAGCAGAGAGGTGCTGGGTGCTCACACTTCCTGCTTGCTTGACCTGCCCCCTCCCACCTGCCCCCTCCCTTCTCCTCTGCCTCCTCCCCAGATATTGGCAGAGATTCTGTGAAAGTGATACCACAGTGCACGGGGGGTGTGTGCTGCTCTGTGCGGTGTTGTGTCTTTTCTTCTGTGTTCTTGGGTGTGGTTGGGTGTGCGGTGTCCACAGATATTGTCTGCTTGTTTATGCTGKCATGCGATTGTCCCTGTCTGCTTGCCACCGTGTGGGTACTGGTGTGCTTTTGACCTGCAAAGGGACATTTTCTACATGAAGGTGCTGGTGTGCATTTTTGCTCAGGAGTCTGGGTGTTGTTATGCAGACGTTCTTGCCTGTGTGAGGGCTTCTACATATTCGTTTGGTTTCATATGTGAAAAGGCGGTTGCGTCTGAGTCGTGGGGTTGGTGGTGATGTGCGTCCCTGTGCGTTCCTGTGAGCCGGCCKGGTTTGTGCATCTCCGAGCCCCTGTCTCTGTAAGGCCTGCAGATGTGGCTGTCTCCAGGTTCTTCCTCTCACTCCCTCTTCTGTGACAGACACAGGTGGGAGTGATGGAGAAACAGGGAGAAGCAAGAGATAAAGGACTGTGACCCAGAGGGAGTCAGGACAGACACCAGGCAGGAGGAGCAGCTGGTCCCTTGGTCTCTGGACCTTCCGGCCAGTGCAGGCTGGCTCCCTCTCTGCCTCTGGCTGACTTCCCAGTGAAGGAAACTCTCTGACTCTCTTGCTCTTTCTCTGGCTCTGCCTCTATTTCCCCTTTGGACTCTGAGCTCCAGGAGCGTGGGGACGGTGTCTGGTCTGTTTTTTGTCACCGTCGTTGTTGTCTTCTGTAACTGGATATCAGAGCTTGAGTGGTTGATAATGAACAGAAATTTATYTGGTTCAGGCTGTGAAGCCCAGGAGCATGGTGCTGCATTTGGTGAAGGCCTTTGAGCTGTGTCATAACATGGCAAAAAGGCGAGGGGACATGCTTAAGAGAGAAGAACAGGGGGAGAAGGACTCTCTGGATGCCTAACCTACCCCCACAGCAACTAATCCACTCAGAGGCCAGAGCCCTGGTGACGTAATGACCCCTTAAATGCCTCCCCACCCCATTTTTTTTCCTTTAGTTGTAGGTGGACACAGTGACTTTATTTTATTTATTTATTTCTATGTGGTGCTGAGGATCCAACCAGTGCCTCACAAGGGCTAGGTGAGCGCTCTACCACTGAGCCACCACCCCAGCACTTAAATGCCTCTCTTGATAATGTTAGAAAAGCAATCAAATTTCAAAATGATTTTTAGAGGGAACATTCAAACTATCCCATTAGGCCTTGTCCCCCCTCAACCCCCACCACCCCCCCCAAGAAAAATAACTCATGTTCTTCTCACATGCAGAACACAGTCATTCCCAATAGCCCCGGGGATCTAATTGGTTGTTCCAGCACCAACTCAAAAGTCCAAAGTCTTTTCTTTGTCACATACAGGTGAGACTCAAGTCATGATTCATCCTGCAGAGAATGAGCTTGTGAGGTCAGAACAAGTTATCGTCTTGTAAAATACAGTCGTGTAAGGGTCCGGCGGAGCGTCGGAGAAAGAGACCACACAAGGGACTTACTTCATGCAATTGGCAAAAGGGGATTTATTAATTCAGCATGCTGAGGTTCCAGGCTCACTCAGGAAGATAGAGCAGCCCAGAGCCCAGAGCAGAGGTCAAGCAGAGCTTAAGTACACTTTCTGGAGAGGGCGGTGGGCTTTGCATACATCAGAACAAAT